AACTCCATTAGTGCTCTTTAAAGGTGTGGTGTATTGCTAATTTGTTTTGCTAGCCTTATTAACGACATTGACAAACTTTTGCCTTGCTGAAAGTATGGACAATGTTTGGATTTCATTAGCTCTGTAGATCTAGCTTAGTCAGTTGTGTATAGGGCCCAGCTATATTTTTGGTAAGCTCAAATGTCAAATCTTGTATCATGTACTTTTTGCATCTCCTTGATGCCTTTTACTGAAATCACTCCATTAAAAAAAATGCTTTCTTTTCTATTTGAGCATGCAAGGCTTCTTTGTTCACCAATCTATATGTTCATGTGAACTTTTGACTTGGATATTCATCTGTTTCAAAAAAAAAAAAAAATTCTGTTTCAAAAAGAAAAAGATATTCAGTTCCATGTGGAATTGAATTTAGTGCATTATGCTACTTTTCTGGCGTGTTCACTCATTTTGTGTTTTACTTACTTCAGCTGGACGTCTGCGGGATACATCTGTTGTTGTTGTTACTCTGGAATCTAGTGAAGTATACATTATTGTTAGTTTGTCTTCAAGGACGGATACACAGGTGATCTATGTTGATCCCACAACTGGGAGTCTTCGCTATAATGCAAAGACAGGATATGATATTTTCAATTCTCAAAATGAAGCCTTAGATTATGTGACAAATGGTTCAAAATGGCTGTGCAAGAGTATAATCTATGCCAGAGCTGTGCTAGGCTATGCTTCTCTTGGGAGCTATGGTTTACTTCTTGTTGCGACAAAGTTGTCGGTCAGCATTCCAAATTTGCCTGGGGGTGGATGTATATATACTGTAACAGAGACCCAATGGATCAAGATTTCACTTCAAAACCCTCAGCCACTGGGCAAAGGTGAAACTAAGAATGTTCAAGAAGTGATGGAGCTTGATATTGATGGCAAGCATTATTTTTGTGAATCACGGGATATTACTAGACCTTTTCCAAGTCGTATGCCCTTGCTGAATCCTGATGATGAATTTGTGTGGAATAAATGGTTTTCAATGCCCTTCAATAAGATAGGACTTCCAGAGCATTGTGTTGTTCTTCTGCAGGTTTTACTTCATACTTGGTACCTTTAGATATTGTACTTTTTTTGTGTGACATTTGACACTTGCTATGAGTTCCACTTGTATGCATATGATACAATGAAAAAAAAGAAAGAAAAACAAAGCAAAGCCATATGATCTTTGAAACAATAAGAACCTCATGTTTTCACTTTTTGTACAGTTGGTGTAAACCTTGTGATGTAAAAAGTGTAGTTGACATTGTAGATTTTCTCATCTCCTTCTACCTATGAAGGAACTGTTTTTGTTATGCACACCTTTTTTTTCCTTCTTTTGAACTGGTTAGGTAGTAGTGGTATTGAAAACAGAAATCTGGCACTAAGTTGGTGCCAAGGTTTTTTTTTCTGTTTTTTTTCAGGATTATTCCGTACAGAACAAGAAAGAGAAGATTTCACCTATACAAAAGCCTATTTCTGTAGTGAGTCTATAAAGTCAAGCATACTATTTTCTCATCTTTAACATTCTGTAGGTTACACCAAAAAGCCAAAAACCATAAGCAGGTGCACTTAATCTTCTGTACACCTTCTATTTTCCCTACAAAACATCTGTACCTATTACCCCAACACATGCTAACACAGTATTCCAAATTTTCCTCGCTGATTTACTCATCCCCCTAGTTGCCCAGCTGGCTAGAAGATCCTTTACTGCATAGGGCATGGCAAAAGAGACTAAAAGGATAAAAAAGTTGCGACCAGATCTGTCTTGTGACTGTGCAGTGCAAAAATAGATGGCTGCTACATACTTCTTCTCTTAAGGTTGCCTTGGGTAAGGTATGCATTGTGCAAAGCTGTCCACATAAGACAACTGACTTCGTAAGGAGTCTTCAACTTCCATAATCGCTAGAATTTTATAGCAAGAGTTCACTGAGAAAACTCCATCTACCTGCCTATTCCATATTTAAGTACCTGGTACCCGTTCTTCTAGGAACACCTTCTCAAGATCATCTAAAAGCAAGGCCATCCTAGGAATTTCCCAATCAAAACAGTTTCTACGAAAATCAAGATACAGTTGTTACTATTCCAGCAAGTTGAAACCAAAGCACCAGTCTTCAAAGTGAAATCGTAATGTTTGCACTCATTGCTATTATTAAGGAAAAAATATTTTTCTCCTCCAGATCTACCTGAGTCTCAAAAAATTGTGTAAGGTATGCATTGTGCAAAGCTGTCCACATAAAACAACTTACTTCGTAATTGGCTTATCAGTAAGTTATATGCTCTGTACCAGCCTTTTGAGAAGTTGAAGACATAAAATTGTGAATTTATGTGTCAAACAGTGTTATCAAAAGCAAAAAGCAAAAAAAAAGTCTTAAGGTCTGTTGGGTTTTAAGCGCAAAGTCAGATAAAGCATGGGCTTTAATGAAAAAGGGTATAAAGGGAAAAATATACAATATATATATGTTTAGTTCAAGGCTAATAATTATAAGCATAAATGATAAATATATGAACAAAGAAATTGATTTTTTTTTACGATAAAGCGAGATATCAATTGCTTAGTGTCGCCTCTTTAGAAGAGGCTCACTGGCAGGAAAAGTATGCGTTAGAACCTTGATGACGATATTGAATCGCACATTAAGCTAGGCGAAATGCTCAACACATTTTGTGCCTCGCTTCAGGGCTTAAGCGCACCTTTGACAACACGACTGTCAAATTTATTCTTTTTTGCTTGAATAGAAATATCATCTGATCCGTTCATGGATAGACTCCTCATGGCGATGATGTTGGTCCTTTGCACAATGGTCGCTGTTACAAATAGAATCTGATTACCTCTTGTTTTTTGATCTTTTATCCTGGTTGTTTTGAGTGTGTATTTGAGAAATCTTATCAACCGCCTCTTCTTATGCATTTTGACTTAAAATGCTAGTAAAATGGTGACATGCTCATTCCACATAATATTTTTAACATGTGGTCTTCTTTTAGGACTTCCAATTTTTTTGATAACTCTCGAAAGAATTAAGAAAGAACCATTAGATTGTTGGTTAAATTGGAGGTAGAACTTCATTACTTACCCTGGTTTGATGATTTGATTGGTTACTATCTGAGCTGTTTTCTTGCTCTAGTTTATTCCACGCTTTTGTTCTTCTATTCCTATCTATGCTGTCTGTATTTGAATCGAAAACTGAAGTTGTAACTATCTTTCATCTCCTGTATCTGTACCTCTAGGTGCAATATTCTTTGTTTTTTGATAAATAGGATCAGAACTCTTACTGTTATGAACCATTATGCTGAATGTGATAATATGAATTCTCATTGGGACGATGATAATCCATAGGGCTTTGCAGAATCCCGAAGTTTTGGAAGCTTAGGTCAGCAAGAAGGGGTTGTTGCCCTCACTGCTCGACGTAGTAGGCTCCATCCTGGGACTCGGTATCTAGCAAGAGGCTTGAATTCTTGCTATAGTACAGGTAGCATAAAATTACCCTGTACATCTTGAATTTGAATTTTTCTTTTTCCTTTTGTTGCCTTTGGGAACAGACCAGGTTATATCATTTGTCGAGAACGGAGACCAGGTTATTATTTACTGTGGTTCTTTGTGGATTTTGTTCTTATGGATAATAATCCTTTATCATAGCTCTGCATTTGTTCATTTATTCTCCCATTACTGTTTGTTTGACATAATTCTGCATGACTCTGCATGCTTTGGTTAGCGATAGTACATTACGTTTCAAACCTTATCTCTGGTGCAAAGTAGTTGTCTCTTTTCTTTCTCGAGCATTTCTGTGCTCATTTTATTATTGATTGAATTGTCCAGGGATTCAGTGGTGTACGCAGAAATTTTTGTAAGTGGTGTCATCACTTAAAGGGAAGAACAAATGATCAAATTAAAGAAAAGATTAACTAATTTTTGAACACTAGGATTTTAGGTTTAGCGTGATTAATAGTTCCGTTTGACCAAACTTCTATAATCAAACTTATTTTAAGAAGTATTTTTTTTTTCAAAAATGCTTTTTCAAAAAAATTATTTTGTCGAGAAATGGTTTATGCTTGACCAATAAATTTATAAAATATTTTTTAGAAGCAATTAGTGTGGCCAAGTAAATAATGTATTTTTCTCAAAAATATTTTTCAAAAACTTGCTTTTAGACAAAAGCTAATTTTTTTTAGATATTGAAAAACAACATTTGCTACTCCTGAAACACACTTTTTTTTTCTTCAAAAGCTTGGTTAAATACCTTATTTTTAAAAAATAAACATTTTTGACATCCAAAAACTTGGCCAAACAGGCTATAATACAGTTCAAGCTTGTGGTAAAGTAATTTAACATCTAAGACATGCAAAAATGAATCTTGATTGATTGGTTTGTTTAATTTGAAGAGCTCAAGGGGAGGCTTTTTGGGGTTCGAATGACGCTTTAAAATGAAAATTATATTGTTTAGCAACTAATATAGTCATAATAGCTTACAAAAGTTCTTAAAAAATATACAAATCGCTGCCATCAAGGTTCAAACTCGGGGTGACAGCCACATTAAGGAAGCACTTAACCAACAAGCCATCCGGGAGTTTGTGTTAGCTGTTGTCATCGTATATTATATATACATGTGTTTTGTTTTTTCTGATATATATATATGTGTATATTTTAACTAAACTTTCTGTCTAAGCATTGTTGGATGACACCCCTGTCCGCCCCTGCAGGGATTCTGTATACTTTATGTTCTCTGCATAGAATGGTGGTATCAGTTCTATACCTAATTTAATTTCAATTTTCCAGCACAGTATGTTCTGGTATCTGCCCTGACATGTATATGTGTGTTTATATTAATAATAATAATAATAATTGATAATTTAAATAATTAATAAAACCTAACAATGTTTAGATAGTTTAATTTGTGAGATATGCTGGACATCTTTTGCAAGAAAAAGAATCTGTGGGATATGTTTATCTTCAGCACCTGTCAATTTGTAATCTATTCCAAGTCTATAAATGAGGCTCATAATTACAATTATAAGCCTCATTTTTTTTTTCTGCCTCAAAAAAAATAAATGAGGCTTATAATTGTAATTATGATCCCTTTATATTGGTTTCACTACTTTTTGATGGACAGGCAATGAAGTTGAATGTGAGCAACTTGTATGGGTTCCGAAAAGGGCTGTTCAAAGTGTTCCTTTCAATACTTACATCTGGAGAAGAGGCACTATTCCTATGTGGTGGGGTGCGGAGTTGAAGTTGACTGCTGCAGAAGCAGAAATCTATGTCGCCAATCGTGATCCTTATAAAGGAAGTGCTCAATACTATCAAAGGTTAACTAAGAGATATGATGCACGAAACCTAGATATAGCTGCTAGTGGGAACCAGCGAAAGAGTGCTTTTGTTCCAATTATATGTGTCAACTTGCTTAGGAATGGTGAAGGCAAATCAGAATCGATTTTGGTTCAGCATTTTGAGGAATCTTTGAATTATGTTAAATCAATTGGAAAACTACCTCATACTCGGGTTCATTTAATAAACTATGATTGGCATGCCAGTGTGAAGTTGAAAGGAGAACAACAAACAATTGAAGGACTTTGGTACCTTCTAAAAGCACCCACAGTTGCTATTAGCATCACTGAAGGGGATTATCTGCCTTCTCTTCAGCGCATCAAAGATTGCAAAGGTGAAGTAATTTATAGTGATGACATTGATGGAGCATTCTGCTTAAGATCGCATCAAAATGGAGTGATACGTTTCAATTGCGCTGATTCCTTAGATAGGACCAATGCTGCTAGTTTCTTTGGTGCCCTCCAGGTTTTTATGGAGCAGTGCAGACGGTTAGGTATATCACTTGACAGTGATTTGGCATATGGTTATCAGTCATATAACAACAATGGGGGATACACAGCTCCATTACCTCCTGGCTGGGAGAAACGGTCTGACGCTGTAACTGGGAAAACATATTTTATTGATCACAATACAAGGACAACTACTTGGAATCATCCCTGTCCAGATAAACCCTGGAAGAGATTTGATATGACATTCGATGAGTTCAAGAGATCGACAATCTTATCACCTGTCTCTCAATTAGCAGATTTATTTTTGCTTGCTGGTGACATCCATGCAACATTGTATACTGGCTCCAAAGCTATGCACAGCCAAATTCTTAGCATATTTAATGAAGAAGCAGGCAAATTTAAACAGTTTTCTGCTGCACAGAATATGAAAATTACTCTTCAGAGAAGATATAAGAATGCTGTTGTAGATAGTTCTCGTCAGAAGCAACTAGAGATTTTTCTTGGATTAAGGCTTTTCAAGCATTTTCCATCAATTCCAACCCAGCCATTATATGTATGTTTTATATTGTTCTCCTTCACTCTTGTTACATGTGACTCTAGTTTCTTTCATTTTCTTTTCTTTTCTTTTGCTTATAATATTGTTTTTTCTTTAACTGTCATTTTTTTAGCTTCATATTGACGTTCTTCTAAGCTTATTTCTTGACACCCAATGAATGCATCCTAGTTGACCTCTGATCACCATATAAGCGAGGAGGGGGATTTTTCACTTAAATCTTTGATAATTGTTAGCCACCTGGGTCTTTCTAATGTATACATTACAATAATGGTTATCCTTTCCTACACTCTTCGTGATCCATAAACCTGAACCTCAACTTGTTCAAATCACGTTGAACTTCTATAATTTCCTAATAAGTGTCTTTTTTATTTGGATATTGTTGGGAATGGGAAAGGAAGAGGAGAAGGTGGAAAGGAAGACAACTTACTCCACCTATTGCTTAGATGAGATCTGTCTGGTTCAGTGGGAGGACATGATCCCATTTGATGAAACATTTATAATTCCCTGCAGTTTTTGCTGGGTGACTAGAGATGAAGTTTATTTCTAGTGTCAGAGGGTTTGACATGCTGACTTGGGAAGCTGCATATCTCTTCACTTTTTTCTCCCTTCCCATTTACTTCCAGACAGCACCCAAAAAAATAAATAAAATCCCAACTGTTTGTAATCTATGTTGCTTCTTCATAACTTTCATTTTTTCATCCCAACCTTTAGTGGAAACGAGGTTCTAGCTACTATATTGGATACTTGGTGTTTTTAGCTTGATAAAGTGCAATCCTGGACAAGTACATGACTGAAGAGCGTTTATTGGGTAGAATCTATGTTGCTCAGATTCGAGTGCAGGTATTAGATCCGGATGCGGATCTTGAGGTCGGATTCTTCATCATATAAATTTTAGGATTCGGGGCTATGGATCCGAGTGCAGATATGGGTGTTGGATATGGTCAATAAATGTATATTACGACACATAGAGTATATTTTTTTGATTATTTAAAGTTATTGAACTAAAAATAATAAAACTTCATTCTTTATAAACACCTATATTTTATTCTTATCTCGCGTAATAGAAAAGCATTCTCATACTTTATATATATATATATGTGTGTGTGTGTGTGTGTGACATAAACCAAAAAATAAAACAAATATCCAATCAATCTATACGTCTCGGTCATAGAATGTGTTCAAAGTACCCAAGGTAAATCGACCAAATCCGCTATGGATCCTACACTCACACTCACTCTACACCTACACCCATATCATGTTTCACGGGTGCGGCAGGGATTATGAAGAGTCCACGCAACATAGAGTAGAATCCTTTTGTTTTGGTTTCTTATTGGTTCATAACAACAGTATCTTTCATGGTTTGTTACTATGTTTTTTTGCAGTCAGATTGTGCAGGCTTCTTTTGTTGCTTTTTTCCCTTTTACTGCTCATTCTTATTTCCCGCTCATGCCAGGCTCTTGATTCTTCTTCCTGCAATGCCTTTTGTCTATGTATCATCTTTCTGGCTCTATCTTATATATAAAAGTATTAAAAAGATTTAATATAGATATGGTAAGAAGGCATAATATTGAAACTGGCGACAGAAGGGACAACTCCCAAAGTTATGGAACAATAGGTTGCATCAATTTGACTCCGAAGGGATTCAAGATGTTACGACACAATTTTCCTGATTCCTAACTTTTGAGGTAGTATTTATGTGTGGACTCTGATTATGATTCTACAAAGACAAAAAGGACACCACATATGGAAAATGTATACTTACAAACTAAAATGACCTATATGTTGTCATAAAAAAAAAAGACCTATATGTGTTATAATAATATACTGGATAGACTTTCTGGGTTCAGCACTGCCTGGATTCAAAAACATCCTGAAACATTTGCTCAAGCTTTTTCCTTGTAAAGAGGAAACTGTTCTCCACTTTAATTATCTCTAAACTGAATGACAAAAGTGGCATAAGCCTAAAAATCCGCATATCCTCAGGCCCCACTTAGGGATGACATGGGATATATTGTTTTTGTTGTAATCAGAGATATTTTCGTCAATTTGTTGTAGTTGAGGTTATATATTTGGAGTGAGCTAACTTTATTTTGTGAAAGACATTTGAAACTTATTCTTTCACCGTTGTTTGTGCTGATGACAGGTCGCTTCCCGTCCTACTGGATGCTTTCTAAAGCCAATTGTGAATATGTTCCCGATTTCCGATGGTGGAGCAAATCTTCTTAGTTTTAAAAGAAAAACAATGACATGGGTACCTGCATAATGCTTTCGACATTTTTAAACTGCATTTTATTTGATAAAAGAATCTTCTTACAGTATAAATCCCCTGCTGTTTTATCTACAGTAGGTTCATTTATATCCGCAGCATTGTGCACCTTGTCTCAGTTGTGTACACATCTTCTTACAGGTTACTCCACAGGCCACTGATGTAGTTGAACTTTTTATTTACCTCGGCGAGCCTTGTCATGTTTGTCAGCTACTTCTCACTGTTGCACATGGTTCTGATGATTCAACGTTCCCATCAACAGTTGATGTCAGGACAGGGCGTTATCTGGATGGACTTAAGCTTGTTCTGGAGGTTTGTTCCATTTCTATTGTGAAATTGTTATGCCTGTACCTGGTTGTTACTTGCTTCTTTGCTATCTAAAAAATTCAAATCTATGTGATGCTCATGCAATTTGCTTAATAGGCATTTTCTTTCTCAACTGTGATGAGTTTTTGTGCCTTGTCTTTTAGATTCTTATAATGGCTAAAGGTATCTAGGATAGGCTGAGAGGAATTTGCGTTTTCCATCTGTTACTGGGAAAACAACATGCACATATACCTCCTTTTTTCTGATGGAGGATATTATTTTTCTTGTATTCCTACAGGCTACAATCCTACCAAATGTCTGAAAATGGAAACCTTTCATAGAAATATAAAATAGTTAAACTTTTCATGTGCAATTGTGCATATATGTCTGGGGTTACTGTCAAAAGTTCACAATTATTGCATGAATTTGTTCACAGGGAGCTTCTATTCCTCAGTGTGCAAATGGGACAAATATTTTAATTCCATTGTCAGGACCAATTAGTGCAGAGGACATGGCTATCACTGGTGCAGGTGCACGGCTTCATGCCCAAGATGCATCCACGCTTCCATTAATGTATGATTTTGAGGAACTTGAAGGAGAAGTGGATTTTCTTACTCGTGTTGTTGCACTCACGTTTTATCCGGCTGCAGATGGTGGAGGCCCTATAACTCTCGGTGAGGTACAAAGAAACAAGATAATTTTACTTTTAGGGATCCTTTCTTTCTAAAGAAATTTTTTAAGTTTCTTTAGATCCTTTAACCTAGTCTTGTGTGGAAGTTTTGACTACATTTATCTGCATATGATAAAGAAGACATCATCCAAGTCTGATGACTAATGTAAGTTATAAACATATTGTTAAAATGGTATTTTGGTCAATCAATTTTTTAGTTTTATGGCTTCACACTTTTATTATTGTATAGATAACCAGTACAAAAAGGGAATCTTTGTTACCTGATTGGAAAAAAAAAGGAAATGTTCATCTAATTCTCAAAAAAAATTGGAAACACATTACAGAAAGAACGTAATCCAGCTAGACAAAACCATCATTATTTTATTATCATGTGGTCTAAGTAAGATGGCTTTACTCAGTTATGGAGCCATGTTGTTGCATGATATTTTCTTCAATCTCTTGAGTACATTTTTTTCTGTTTGTAAAAACACATGCAGATTGAG